TTTCACTTTTTTTTCAAAAATAAATGTTAATAAATATACAATGCGCAGAGCCATAGAGGCTCAAGGGATAGAGCTGTAGCACCCAATAAGGTGAACCGGGTTCGAATCCCGTGGTTGGCTGGTTGATTCGAAATCCGCACCCGGCTTGCACCGACAGCAGTGCTAACATCAAATATCATCAGTGGTAGACGGATCATGGATTAGAGTCCCTTTTACGTCAGTCTAACCATGGGAGATACGTGGTTTTCCTCACCATGTAACGGAAATTTGGGTTAGTTCCATCAAAAACGTCCTCCACGAAGGCAAATGTCTCTCCATACTTGATCCAGGAGTTTCCTTGTCTTCTGGATTGGGTTCAAAATTACAAGGCTACCGGGGGTCTGTCCAGACATTTTGTGAAAGGTCCGTTTTTGTAAAATTGTGAAAAAATTACTCGTAATTTGTGAATATAAAATAAACGTTAAGTCACATTCTTTCAACCAGGGTCCGCTTTTGTGAATTTGTGCAAATAGGATCAGTTATTGCCAAAACACTTTTTCAAGGAGTTTTTAAATTGTAAAGAGATACAAGATTACGCTCAACACTGTAAAATTATATTTAAAAAAATTAAATTCTAAAAAATAAACAGCAATTGCAGCTGCTAAATTAGCGATGCAACATATAAATATTTGGTATTTAGCCTATACTGCTGAACGTAAGATATTCATTTCGGACGAATAAAGGAAGAAGCGTCTGCCGAAGACAAAATTGAGTTCGTTTACATCTGTCTTTCTCCCCCCCCCCTTCCTGGAAAGGGTTTATTCGATTAACAAAACAATAATGATGATAAACAAATTGTGAAGGGTCCGTTTTTAAGTTATAATATTTTGTGAAGGGTCCGTTTCTAATTTATAATATTTTGTGAAGGGTCCGTTTTTATGAAAAGATATTTTGTGAAGTGTCCGTTAACGGACCCAAATTTCTTCTAAACAGACCCCTGGCTACGGAGTTGAACAATATTAGTCGTAACCCCCCCCCTCCCCCAAAAAAATGCTCAAAATTTATTTTAAAGACATGCTATTTGCGCTTATCCTATTTTCCTCCTTTAATATTTTAGGTTATACGGATAATTCATACCAATTTTTGTTAGGTTGCATATGGATAAGTCTTGCTATGTCGGGATAATCGGCCTAATTCATGTATACATATTCTAAAAGACGGAATTCAGAAGTGTTATGTTCCCAAATCGACGAATAAAATGCGCCACTTGGAAACAAATCAGAAAAGGTTATATTTCATCAAGGAAATTAACAGTCTCATCTGTCTTTGATAGCTCGATAAAAGTTGTCAGAGTTTGACCGAGATGTTCTGTCTCATCCACTATACTTACCAGACACTGCTCCTCAAATGTCCAGCTACTTCTATAATTGCAAAATCCCTCTAAAGAAAAGAAATTTAACTTCTTGGATGATATTGTGGATGTATAATTTTAAGAAGTCATTATACCGTGGGTGAAATTTTTCATGGTAAATTCCGTTTCACCTTCATTGGGAAACAGAGAAAAGTGAGTTCTGGTTAACCTCGTAGGGAACCATGAAGCATTTAAATGCTAGCATTTTTTTTTCTTCTTCAAAATATCAAAATGCAAACAGATCTGAATTTCCTATCCACGACGCAATAAATAATCCACTTCTGCAATATTTTGTTTGTATTTTGATTTGTGAAAAAATAAATTTAGCTTTTGAATTTTCATGGTTTACTCTAGGCTCACCTAAATTTGAAATTTAAAATACCAATGAAAGTAAAAACAAAATTTGCAGAGCAAAGTTTCTCACGTGGTATAGCGTCTTCTTAAAATTCCATCTTCCATTCGATGGGCTTTTATAAATTGCACAAATTTTTCTCCATTGCGATAGATGGCGCTATTAATCTTTACGGTAGCCACAGTTCAATAGCTTTAATAAGGAATTTCTGCTATAAACTGACTTTTTTTTTTTAACATAATACACATTAAACTAGCAATTTGAGTAAAAATTTTTCCCCATTAATTATTAAATATGCCATGTTATCTTATTCCAAAATGTTCTTCGAAAAATATTATAGAAAGTTTAAACTAAAAGCAAGCACTTAGTTTAATCGCCCAAGGATAACCCGGATACAAAAAAGTTCAACATCATCAGTTCAACAATCATTGTTTGACAAAAGATAAAATCTCTATTCTTATTTGTATATTTATAAACTTATTGTTTTTCAAAAACCGTTTTTCTTTTTTTTTAATAATTTTGAAATATCTATTTCTTTACGAATACATTGTAATAAACATAGTAATAAACCATTAAAATCCCTAATTAGCAGTCTCCGTAAAACGTCTGGTGGCACTTTAACCAGTAAACACAGAGAAATAAAATCTCGAATTTAATTTCAGTTGGATCTCCAGTATTTTCAACTTCTACGGAATGAGATAAAAACTATAGTATAGAAAAGTTTTTCGCCGTTTCGCCCACCGAATTTGCACAAACTTTTCAAATTAATTGCTTAAAATAATACGCATGTATTCAACCGTATAAATTTTAATGTAAACAACGTATTTGAAAATGTTATGGACATTTTAGTAAATAAATATTAAAAGCAATGTGTTACGTGTACAAATGAAAAGTATATACAAGTAATGTATTTATCAGTGTAGTAGACAGGAAATTTAAATCATTGTAATTAATTGTATGTATTTAAATGTAAACAATGTAAATTGTAAAATTTTAAACTAAAAGGAAATTCGAATATCTTTGAAAAAATTGCTCCTTAATATGACGCATGTATTTAAATTTAAACAATGTTTTCAAAGCATTGAGAGTAAAATTAAGCAAAGCATTTAATACATGTTATACGATGTAGGAAAATTTGCTGGAAACAATTTAGGGAACAAAATACTAAACAATGTAGGAAACAATGCACTAAACAAGTTAAGCAGTGCATTAAATAATGTTGTAAACAATGTTTTAAAGTAGTTTTTTGAAGTTATACTTCTTATGCGACTTCCCAACAAGGTTGCGTTAAGCGTTTAACGCTACATTTTTATTGGCCGGGAAATCACGTGGTAGGATCCAGTTTTCCCTCATTCATTTCCATATTTTTTTAGTTCTCACTAGCATAAAAATAATAAAAGTCATAAAAGTATTGTTTTTCTATAAATATTTTTTTAGTTTGTTTTGATACACATATAATTTAATAGGGTAGTATTTTTTATTTTCAAATTTAGTGGATAACAATTGTAAAAAATGAGTGAAAACAATCCCACGGACAATGCGACGGATTTAAGGTTATGTCAAGGTACGTCTCTTGTGAATATCAATTGATTGTTAGGTTTTCTCTTCTGAAATTACATTATGACGCATTCACATACATTATTAATACAAATACATTTTCCAGGGCGAGACGATGAGGCAACCACAAGCACTTCCACTGGTTCAAGAGGTCCACGAGGGAAAAATGCACAATATTACCGTGATTACAGAGCACGGAAGCGAGCGGAGCAGGAAAAAGAGTCGTTGAATAGAACTAGTGATCCTTCTACGACTGCTGATTCTTCTACAATTAACGTCGCAGGTTGCGAAGTTTAACTTCTTCCGCGCGGAGGAACTCTACGCACTATTTTTTTATATGAATTTCTATAGTAAAAAGGAAATTTGCATATTTTTTAAAAATCTAATTTTGAAACAGTATTACGTATGTATTTAAATTTAAACAATATATTTACACCATTAATATTAAATGTAAGCAATGCATTTGAAACAATATTACGAGGTAGGAAAAATTGCAGGGAACTATATATTTAACAATGTAAAGAACAATGTCCTTGACAAGTACAGCAGCGTTTTAAACACTGTAGTAAACAATGTTTTTAAAATAAAATAAAATGAATAATATGAAGTTCGAAAGTAAAAAATATATTTTTATATAAAGTAAAAATATATTTTTATAAACAAAGAGACAAAATCTTAATGATCTCGTCTGTTTACAATATTTTTAACCTGATCGCATCGTCCATTGCTCCAATATTTTTTTTTATATCTTGACGTTAAATTTTTGTAGATATATTTTTATAAACCAAGAAACAAAATCTTAATGATCTCGTCTAGTTACAATATCTTTTCTCCTGATCACTTCGTTGATTGACTTTTACGATTGTTCTAATCATTTCGTGCTTCTTGCTGCTAAACCGCCGATTACTGCGATTACTTAAAAAGAATTCAACTGAAAGTTATCAAAATGTATTATTGCATAAACGCAGTTTTAGTTCTCGATTCTAATCAGATAAAATTTTAACCAAACAATTTTGTTCCCTTACCACTGCAACTTTATATACGATTTCGTATATTAAATTCTTTTTTTAAAATTTAACTTTTGATTGCTTAAAAAACTCGTTAAATGTTTTTCGTGAAAAAAATTAATTACTAATAACTCGAAAAGGTAATTTCTAATAATGTTTCACAATTCTATATTCTTTAATTTGATTGCAAGTTTTGGCTCACTGCAGTTTTACGCAAAGCCTATAATAAAATTAACTAAAACGTAATTACTGTTTAGTAATTATAAGACATGTAAATACATTTAGATTTTGATTTAAATCATAAAATGCTACATAATTTCACAGTATTACTTTGTAATACAGAAACACCGATTTCAGTTTAAGTTCTTAATCAGAAATAATAATAAAAAAGACAGTAATAATAGCAGAGATTATTAAGAAATGATGATAAATAAATATTAAAGGTAAATTAAGGTTAAACCAATATTTTACAGATAAGCAATTCCTGTAGGACTTTAATTAAATTTATGCTAATGACAACCAGAGAAGTCTAGTTCTTGGTGGTAGAAACTGGATCATACCATGTGATTTCTAGCCAATAAGAATGTGCAGACCACAGTATAAAATGGTTTTATGTCATTACGTTTTTATACCATACATAAATATTAAAATATTTCTTTGTAGGACAAAAAGTGAAATGTTACATCTGACTTACCTTTAAGTTAAAGTTTAAAATTCAGCAACAGAACAGAGTTACTTAACAAAGTGTAGTTAACGTCGTTACTTATCACAACTTCATTGTCCCTTATTTGTTTTATTTTTATCTTTTGTTATCAGTTTAACCGCCTGACTGATAAATTATTTCTATTTCAGCCATTCGTTTTTCAAATAAAAATACCTAGTTATCGTAACAGTAAAAAGATTAGAAATATATAAGGAGGGGTCATGTTTGTAGAAATATATATATCTACAAACATGACCCTGACAGTAGAATTTACAGAGTCAGTCAATCAGCAGAATTATCTTCAAAAATTCATATTTGTCTGTGAATTCAATGCAGTCAAGCAGAGATTAATTCTGTGAAAATTAAGCTGAATCAACATATCTGGTACTTTTCGGTTAGCTGGGCTGAAGGGAATATAACTATTAATTTTAATTTTTTATATATATATTTTATTTCATTTAATTTTTTTTATTTCATTTAATCTCTTTCATTTAATTTTTTTATTTCACTTAAGTTTTATGTGTTTAGTAAATAAATAAAATAAAAAATATTAGAAAAAGTTGGCAGGGTTTTGCTTCTTTTGGTGACTTTTCACTTCCAACCGGCTAATCGAAAAGTACTCATACATTTAGCACAATTTGCAAACACTACGCAGATTGCTTGTTTTTTAAGTATATAGACGATATAACAAGCATTTGAATCTTTTAGTGATAAATAGAATTTTTTAGTGATAAATAGAATTTCTTAATTGAATTTTTTGGTGATAAATAGAAATTTTTATTGATAAATAGGAGTTTTTAGTTGAATTTTTCAGTGATAAATTTAGTGACAAAATTGTATGAAAACTCCAAACATTTTTATTGTATCAACCCAAACATGGTTCAACCCATGTATTTTACAATTTTATTAGCATAACAACTGTACCTAGTATTTTACTCAGTTACAATTACAAGTTCATTCACAGTTTTGTTTTTTTACAATTGTCTAATTTTTGGTTAACATAAAAACTCGTTTAATATTTTTTACTTAAAAGATAATGTTTTATAATTCTGTATTCACTATTTTAATAGCAAATGTTGTCTTGGTACAGTTTTGCTTATAGTTAAAGAAAAAATATTAAAATACTATTTGATTTAGACAGAGAATTTAATAAGTTAAATTTTCCGTTCTATAAAAAATTCCGAATCAAAATACGGTATGAAGTACTAGCACTTCGGTGCATCATTCGTAAAATTCATTTTTACAGTTATAGTTTTTTAATAACAGTGATTCATTGATTTAAACGGTAATTGTTTCTGTGAAAATTACTGAATATCAGTGTTTTTGTCCCATAACATGTTCATAAAAATGGGTTTTAGGGTAAAAAGTGCCGGTGCTTTTTTCCGTAATTTGATCAGAATTTTTTTACATTACAGTTAAATAAAATAATAAAGAATATTTTTTATATAATTAATAATAGTAAAAGACATGAAATCATAAAAAGTACTTACCACTAAAAGGTTACTGCCTCATTTTTTTCCTAAAAAGTCTTCATTGGTAAATAAATTTCAGCCATGCACTAACTAACGTTTTAAAACCTTTTTTTAAAATGTAATAAAGAGTATTTTATTTGCTATAATTTTTGCTAATTGCAAGTGCTTTTTTGAAAAGATAAACTTCATGTTTTTAAGTGATAAATTTTTTATGGAATTAGTTGAGCGTTACATTTTTAGCACAAATATAAACAATCATACATTTACACAGTGAGCTGCAATTTTTTTATAACATTAGTTAAACATCTCATTTCTTTAACGCAAACATAAACAATTGTTAGACAATGTTTTTAACACAGTGACAGACATATATTTTTTATAGTTAGTTAAACATTACATTTCTTTAACAAACCTCATAGGATAGAAGTTGATGCTATTTCAATCCCTAATGTAGACTAACACAAGATAACACGAATATGGAGACAGAATGTACGAAATAAAAAACGTTGCCCTCTGAAGAACTTTTAACGAATAATCATATTATATAAACAAGCATAATCAGGTTTAACGAACTAAAAGATAAAATCTTAGAAGTTTGAAAGCAATAAATTATTACGAATTCGAACTAGTAAACAGAAATATTAAGATATGTGTCAAAGCCATTTATTATTCAAGTTTGTTAAGGCGGCAAAGGGGCTTTTAATTTCTTTTAAAAAAGCTTTTGAGCGAATGATAGGATTTAATAGGAATGAAATACCAGAACTAAATTTTAATGATGAGAGCCTGAATTTAAATAAGCTAATTAATTATTTCAGACGATATTTTACATTAAGAAATCAAATACAAAATGTACTGTAATTAAACATATTTTTTTCCCAACGGATTCAGTTATTGATCCTAAAGATATAGGTGAGGAAATAGCCATGATCAGGAAAATACAGTATCAAAAATTTAGGCGTTTAAAACTCTAAACCCCTTAATTCACTTTTTACGCAAAAAACGAAAATACGCAAAAAATGAGGAAATTAACAGTAAGCAAACTAAACTTTCGTCAGATCTCTTGCTTAGACTATTTAAATCATATTTTCCAGATTTTGATTACCCTCCATATCGTGAGAATCAAGAATTTAAATGCAGAGAAAAAAATGCTTATTCAGAGAAAGTGCGTTTTTGTATTTGATTTCGTAACGTATCGTCTTCACTAATTGATTAGCAAATTTAAGGCTAGGTCCACAAGCTGTAAAGATTGAATCCTAGTACCGGAAAAACCGAACATTAGATCAGAAGTTATTCAGTTTTTTTTTCTCACTGTAAATTCCAGTCCATAGACTTAACACATTTGACATTACACTCTTGAGAATTAAAATGCTTTATAAAATTGCAACACACTTAGTTGCGCAACTTTATAGTTGCTATTAGAATTTGATAGTATTTATGCTATATTGACTTATTTAATTCCGATTATCATGATAATCATCAGCTTCTATTAGACTTTTATCAGTTTTATTCAGCACACTGAAGCTACTCTTCGTTGTATTCATTCTCTTGACTGCATTCCTGATAATCCAAATCAGTGTTAATGTCATTATCCGTATCTGTATTCACTATAAGACTTTGAGCACTATAAAGACCATCTTGAGTGCCTTTACCGCATACGAGATCCTTATTTTTTCTCGACTCTTGAATGCAAAAACATGAGAAGCATGGTGAAACATTGTCGTTATCAGAATCGGTCAACACTTTTAAATTCTGAGCACCATAGTGACTACTGCGATTGTCGACACTGCAACCAAGATACTTATTTATCTCCGACTCTTGAATGCAATCCGAATCATTGTCGCTATCAGATTCTGTCGACACTTTTAAATTTTGTTCACTATGAAGACTACTGGGATTGTTTTTACAGTCCTCACTTGACTGCGGCTCTTGAACGTATCCCGAATTGTTTGAACCACTGTCACTACCAGTAGAACGCTTTTTGAACTTTTTGTTTTTCTTTCTATGATGCCGCGTATTCTTACTAAGGTTTTTTGTAATCCCAGCTTTTCTAAGTTCAAGTAACTTTAAACCAGGCGCGTGCTCATTAGAACCACAGGCACCATTGCTAGAATTCCCTCTCAGCCACTTTTTCCTTTTTTTATTATCCGCGTTATCCTGGAAATATTTTTTAAGCAGAAATAAAGTGTAGTGATCATCATAAGAATCACCACCGTTGTATGAAACAAGATGTCCTAAAGTGCGGAATAAAGCTCTTCTACATTTCGATAGCACAGTCTTGTAGTGGAAGAAGTTTTGGCGAACACTGTCATCCAACTTAGAGCTCAGTTCCGCTACCATGTCTCTCGACCAGGGTGAAAACAGTTTTATGAGATAAATACTGTTTTTCCAATCAACGCTCCGTAATTCCACAGTGTCACGATACAAATCAAATATTGAATTGAAGAATAAGTCAATGCCATCTAAGGAAAGCATCATTTCTTTTTTGAATTCGCGAATGTTATCAGTAGGAGTCAGCCTGGTAAAATGTTCAGCTGTCAGTTTATTGCAGTCCCCACTCAGATTCTCAATATCGTCTTCATTGCATAAAAAGTAGTTTAGAAAATTTTCGAACAAACTTAGTCCGTTTTTTTCGTATTTCATTTCATCCACATACTCAAAAAAATATTTCGTTGCAAATTCTTTTTTGAATTCATTTATTTTCTGAGCAGAATCAAAATATCTACGTAAGCATTTGTCGACCCATTCGTACGTTCCATAGGTTAGTGATAAAATGGTAATAACATAATCAAAATCAACCTTTTCCCCGCCACTGTCACTGCCTGCATCAATGGTCTCATATAGAACTCGAAATACAAAATCACTCTTATCTATTTGATAAAGATTTCTGAAGTCGCTTTTGCACTGCCAACAATAGACAATAAACCGTTTCCTGAACTTAGTAGGGCTATGCCACCATAAATTGATTAAATCTTTTGTTGCACTTTCGTATTGTAGTTCTTCTACGATATATGTCATTATTTCACAGTAGAGTTCCATATCTAAAAAATCCCACATTTTGTTGATCGTTGGCAAGAAATAGTGTTGCCATGACCAATGGTTGCTTAAAGATTTCAATATTACGTCTTGAAATCGATGAAAAATTTCCGCTTGCTGCTCCTTATCACTTAAATGTGACAACAGAAAGGTAATGATGTCAGTGCGTTCATTGGGTCCTGGGTCTATATACGTTAAAACTTCGTCATCCAGTTCTAAAGCTAACACCAACCACCGATTAACGTGAGTTCTCTTCTCTTCTTCTGTAAGTTTATGATGCCACAGATATTTAACTCCGTGAAAATTAGCGTCTAAAATTGATAACGTGAACATGTTTAGATAAATATTATGCTCTCGATCATATATATTATTAACGCTGTCTTCAAATATGTATCTGGTAAAATCAGATAACTTATTCTCTATAACGCACATCCAATAATAAGTGAAATGAGAGCGTTCTAAATTAAATCTTTCTTTAGTTTCCGGTGGCAGCATGTCATACATCTCAAAGATATATTTCTCACAGAAACAACTGCATGCGATTTCAAACAGCACATCAAAATCCTTGTCTCTAGAATCATCAAGTAGCAAGCGTTCCAAAGTTTTAATTTTGTCAATAGTTCGTTCTGTTGTCCAAGAAATACAGCCATCACGTGCAGAATGATTATACAGTTTATATTCCATTTTATCTTCATCCAAATACTTAAGTAATTCT